TTTATTTACATGCAGAAGTAAACAAACTTTGCTGTGTGTTTGCCTTAAAGCAAGCAATGAAGGAAATGTATCTTGCAATGCACCAAGAGATAAAGAGATCGTGGAGAGCACTTCTTTTGGTTCTTTGGTTCCAGGCTCCAAGAAGAGTCCATCTCCTGGATGCTGTAGCTCTAATGCAGTAAATCCCATTAGACCTGAGGACTGAAGGATCTTCATTCCAGAATTGATGCCAGTCTTTAGTAAGTTAAACTTTGGAAATAAACAACAACTTCCTGAAAGAGAAGCGGCACAAGAGAAGAGAAGGAAGTCAGCAGACCATGAGAACATATTTGACACTTTTGTTGGTGGTGTTATTGTTGGTTGGTTATTCACTTTAAAAGAGACAGCATGGTGTTGTGTTCTTTACCTGTTCCATAAGCAAAGCGGCTTTATACCAAGGTATATGGGATTTCTATAGTTGAAATCTAAGTAAAAAATCAATATGTGAAATCAAGTAATCATTTTGTGTCTACTTTGGAAAAAACGTAAAACGTGCACAGGAAAAAAAACCCAAACATATATGGGAGCTTAGTATGAACCTGATGATTTAGGGAAGAGCTTGAGGATCACTGTGAAACTGAGGACTGGAGTTGCTGATACTGTAGATACACTTTGTACCAAGGAAACTGCATTTATCTGCAGGTCTCTTCTCCATTATGCCATTAAGTTTAGGAAAGTAGTCCTTTGGACCTGTGTTCCAGCTTCAACTAGCCATCTTCCACATGCAACGAAATCTAACGTGAGGGCACTCTGATGTTATTCATACAGTGAGGAACAGGAGTTGCACCTCATGAGCATCTTCTCTCAGGCAACCAGCCACAGGACAAGAGGCCACAGTCTTAAGCTGCACCAGGGTAAGTTTAGGCTAAGCATTAGAAAAATGTTTTTCACAGAAAGAGTGGTTCAGCATTGCAATGGACTGCCCAGGGAGGTGGTGGAGTTGCTGTCCCTGGAGGTGTTTAAAAAAAAAAATGGATGTGGCACTTAGTGCCATGCTTTAGTTGATAAGGTGGTGTTAGGTCATATGTTGAACTTGACAGTCTCAAAGGTCTTTTTCAACCTAAATTTTGTGATTTTGTGTACCTGAATCCATGGCATATGACCAGCAAACCTGAAGGCTATATGCAGCTTCTGAGAATGTCTTTGAGTAGCTGCATTTGAGGCATCTAGAAAAGGATGCTCTCCACTGTAATTCACAGGATGTACCCCCTCTTCTGTAATAGCAAGTCTGTGGCTTTGGTCCCAGCCACCAATTTCAGATGAAATCATAATATGGCAACAGAGCTGAGTGCTGTGGGGGAATTAAGGAGGTTGAAAATCAAAGTCTTTGCTTCTCTTTTTGACAGATAGAAATCATCCATCTAGACTTTTAAACTTTGCTTATATTCATGTTCTTTCCATCACAATTGCTGTATTTTGCACCTCAAGGAGATGAGGGGGGTGCTTTTCTCTAAAGATGCTGTATTAGTTTTCCTCAGAATGAGCACCAGTACTTTCATGGCTCATGTAAGAGGCCAAAATTGTATGGCCTCTTAAATGAGAGGAGTCAAGATTTGGAGTCTTGACTAATTGCTGAACCAGCAGGCAAATATGGTACTAGATCTGGATCTGGTGTCCAAGAGGATTGGGACTGCACCACAGTCTGTGAGGTTGTGGACAGAGCTGTGGTCAACCTAAGCTTCCGGCTAGCCTTCCCTCATAGAGGGTAGCCCTGATCTTGCCCTTTCAGTACAAGCATGCAAGTTGTCTGCTGCCTTCCTGCTTGGTTTTGATGCAGACTCTGCTTGCAGGATTGGTGAAACAGCATGACCCCCTGGCAGCTGCTTGAAGGCTCAGCATGTGTTCCTCCTGCCCCTTCCACAGCTCTACAGCAAGTTTGGGGGTGTTCTCACCTGTCTGAATTAGTTCTTATTCTTTGCTGTAACCACACAAGATCCTCAACTCCTTCATCTGGTCCAAATGTCAAAGAAGCAAGACAAAAATGGAAACCATTGCACCAAAGGCTAAAGCGTGTGTGTTATAGTCAAGGAAATAATGATCCTTGGATGTAGATATTGAAGTAGATTTAAATTCAATCCCTACCTTTGTCTCTAGGCCCACCTACATGTTGTCTTTGTTGGCAATGTCAGCTTAAGGAGTTCCCACCCCCTCACCACAAATACATGAATGAATTCAAATGAACTTGTCTTACCTGAAGTGTTCCTTTTGGCTTTGAAGTGCAGATGAAGGGAGGGCTCCTGACTTGCCTAGTTCTGTGTTGCTCAGACTCATGGTCTGTCTTATCTCAGAAGACTATCAGTAAGTGGAATCATTTTAGTAATTCAGTTTGACATGATTCCACAAGTAGATGTAGCTGCACAAATTAGGGCTGATAAACTGAAGCATGTACATTAGAAAAAAAAAAGGGAATCAGTTAAATGGAAAGCTTTTAAGTGCTTTGTTATTAAAAAAACATGGATATTTAGATCTGTTTTGTCAATTTACCTTCTAAGGTCTTAGTGTTGTGGCTGTAAAGTGACCAGGGGAATCAGCTTTTAATGTTTCGTCCTTTGATTTTACAGCAAGTTCTTACAGGTTAAGTTAATAATTCTGGTTTTTCTGCCCTAACAGAAATTAAACTTGTAAGACACTCTGATATCCTCATTTGTTGTCAGTTCTTTAGAGTTCAGTTAGCCTTTCCTCTTGAATCTGTCTTTTTTTACATATGCTGCTATTTTGTGTTTGCTTTGCTTTATTTTTAGCAAAATTGCAGCTGGCTCTTAGTTTGATGCACTGTTTGGGTTTCTTCTGGTGAAATTCCAAGAAAGGAAGTCTTGGGGACAGAGAGCTACAGTCCTTCCAGTCTTTGAAGTATTTTTGCATGGATCTCACCCATTCTGCAAGGAGACAGAAGCTTTTTAGTCCACATCAAAATTACCAGTACCTCTTTTGCCTCTTAGCTTTACTAAATCTTCATCTCTTGACCTGTGAGCTCTCCAAGACACACTAATTTTCTTTTCCTTTCTCCACTGAGTTTCAAAGGCAGGTAGATGTCTCTTGCTAACTCTGTTTATTGACACCGGGGTGCTGTGAACTCCAAGAGCAAGCATAGAAAGAAATACTGCCAGAGGAAAATCTTCCACTGGTTTTAAGTTGAAAATAAACCCTGCATAAGTGTCTCAAAATCAACTGTGCGAAGATTTCCTCTGTCCCTCAGCCTGTTGGTTCATGTTTACTGCCTTGATAAAATCTATAACTTCGCTTAATGTGGTTTTACTAATGGTCAACTAATGGACTTAGTGAACTTCTAGGGCTCATCTTCTTCAGGAACTGACTTCCACAGGGTCTGCTGTTGTGGTGTAACCAGCAGTGAAAGCATGCAAGGTACCAAGCTCATGCTTGCAGGAGAGAACTAATACACATCATAAGGAATTTTCCATTGCTGGGGACTTTCTCTGCCCTTTCTCTGTGCAGGCTTCATTTCAAAACATTGGCCAATAATACTTTTCCCAAGGGTCAGTCTTTTTTCTTATTAGTGAGGTTTTATTTCATTTGTTGCCTGCTCCACACATGGTTCAGAGATCAGGAAGGAGATTGCACAGGGCTGAAGCAGGCAGGTGCATGCATCACCAATGGTCTGTAGACAGTTGGTGCCATTCATACCCATGTGGCCAGCTGGAGAGGATGCCTGGTTTGCAGAGATTTAGTTAATTCAGTCCTGGGTGGCTTGGTCACCTGGCTGGGACTAGCAATAACACCCAATGGATGGGTGAGGGCAGCCTGTGCTTGTATGGATTTTTCATGTGTAGTACAGAACAGCAGGTATTTCAGGATGCTTTGTCTTCTAGGTGTTTAAAGTACTTGGCTCATCTTCCTCCAAGCTTGACTGATTCTGAGTACCAGCCATGCAGATCTTAAGGAAAGCTGTTGGTATCTGTGTGTCTGTATCACTGTTTGGAAGTCTGTTCTTGAAGGTATTTCTTTGTCTTGGAGAGAGCAGGCACAGCAGGAACTTGGTGTAGATTTTGCTCAACAGGTGCAAGCAAATTTTCTGTTCTTGACCATCCACTTTTGGCTCCTGCACAGAGAAGGTTAAGAGCACTAGCCCTGCAAGGTCCTTAAAAGAAGCCTCTGAGAATGCAGTGTCTAACAAGACTGGGGGGGGAAAAATATCACTTTTCCCATAACAGGAAACAAACCATCCTTCTCCATCTCTGACTTCATGGCATTATCTTTGCTACCCTCCTTACCCTTATCCTTTCCTTCCCATGCTTCAAAGCACAGGGTCTGCCTGGTGAAGACTCATGCCTGTCAGGGACCTCCCACATGCAAATGGAAACCCACACTTTCACAGTTACAACAGATCAACTGGCATGCAGTTGCCTAATGAGGAAGTAAGTCAATTAGTCCCTCTTCCACATTAAATTGATCATCCAGGCCACACGACTCTGCCTGGCCACCCAATAAATTTCCTGTTCACCCTCTGCCAGAGCATCATGCAAACCACCTCTTCCCTCAGAGCAACATGAATAGCTGCATCTTTCCCCCACATCAGCAGCATTGTGGAGACCAAGATTATTGCCTCTCAGTGACTCCTCTCTGAATAGACAACCTCAGTTTACAAGTAGAGCAGAGAGGCTGTGCTTGATTGCCTTGGAAACACAGAAAGCTAAGCTGTTTTCACTCTTCCCTCTCATTCTTTTCCTCCAGTTTGCTCACCAAATGATATCCTGTGCAATATTTGTGCATCTCACTGTCTGCAACTAACAGGTGGAATAATTTGACCTCTGTAAACAATTATTTTGCTGGTGCACAAAAGCACTGACTGGCTCACTGAGCATTGGTAGCTGTGCAGGGAGAATAGAAGCAAAAGCAGCAAGAATTATTTTAGTCTGTCAAGTTATCAGACTTGATACATAGAGGAAATCTACTGGGCAAGACAACATGATTTAACATACCCAATTTTCTAAGCATAATTTTATTTAAAACGCAAAAGAAAGATTGGTCTCTCACTGTCATGCATGGAAGAGAGGGAAGAAGAAACAAGCCTCTAACAGAGCAAGGCTGAATGAGCCTGTGACTGCACAACTGCTGATGTGGCCAGGCAGCTGTGCAGGATCGATGTGCAACCTCTACACACAGGCACGTGACTGTGTATGTGTAGCTGACACCTATATAAATGTATGGTAACCACGTCTGGGCATGTGTTGGCTTTCAAATGAATGTAAATAAGTGCACACACTCAGACCAGGTGTAGCATGAACATTTTCAACCTGTTCATATGTGATCAGAGTTGTGGAAGCTGCTGCCATTGCCACTGCCCCACCTGTATGCTCAGGTGCGCACACTCCTTTTATGTGTGTAATCACACCCTGGGTGTGCACTGTGGGAAATGCTTTTCACAGGGTGCTGACTGTGGTGAGACCCTAAAGCAGTCATTTGCCCGTTTCCTTGACTCCAAATCTTTTGCCCATTTGCACAAACCTGGAGATGGAAACTTCACTCTATCAATCACAAACCAGCTCAGAGGTACTTTTCTGAAAATACACAATATCTGCAGTTTATTTTTCAGTTTGGTTTGGGGGGGGCAGGGGTTGTTCAAGCACAGACTTTTTTCTTAGACATGCATTCCATGGACAACTCAGGCAGAGAGTCTCTAGTCCTTCACCAGCCGGTAGATGTGATGTTGGGCACCGTGGTCACTAGTTGATACTTCAAAAACATATGCTATGCACAGCAAGGTCTCCTGTGTGTCCCTGTTTGTCACAACCTAGACAGAAAAGGAGAAGAAGCTGAAATGGCAACTGCTATTTCTCTGCTTATGTATTCCAACACATTTAACACAAAGCAGAAAGTCAGTAATGGACAAAGAACAGAGAAGGGCAGGATCGATACACAAAGGTTGGCCCACAAACCACAGCACTTTTGCATCCTCAGAACTACAATGCAGTAAAGAGACAGGGAGATGACAAAAAGTTCACTGTGACCAAGCAGTGATCACATCAGTGGAAGCAGGTTCTCTACTTCCCACCCCTGATGTTGCAGATTTCAGCAGAGTGAAAGTGTTTCACTCTGGAAAAAAAAGCTCTTCTTGCTCTGTTTTGTTTGGTATAGAGGGACCCCCTCCTGTGGCACACCCACTTCTGTTCACACAAATATTGATATATCACAACCATAGACAGTTGTTTTCCCTCATCTGCTCCTGCTTGTCAATGGTAGACACAGAACACAAGGATTAAAGAATAGAACTCCTGTTACAGGAGACTTACAGATTTGACTCCATTACACCTCCCATTCCATACACTGTAGATGTTGGGAGAAGGATGGCTGCTACACTCATGCATTCTTACAGAAGCTCCTTTTTTCCCATTTTTTTTTCTATGGCCCCTCAGGACCCTTTAGTGTCTCTACAACGTGACTCTGTCAGCGGCATGGTGAAGGAGCAGTGTTGTCCTAGTTTCTGCAGCATGCACTAGGCAGCAGAGACAAGAGAAATATTGCTCTCACAACTCCTAGCTCAGCTTCCCTCTCTGTCACTGCACAGCTTTGCACATTCTTGTCACCTGAGTTTGTGCCATAGCTAAAGTTCTCTCCTGCTGGAGAACACAGATTTTTAGCAGCAGCAGCACAAGCTCAACTGCAGAAGAAAACCATTACAGCTGGAGGCTTGAACTGTACCAAAGCCCAACTGTTCTTGTGAAAACAGGAGGAAAATAGCTGTTTTCAAACTTTCCTATTAATTTTAGCAGTATGATTTTGGTCTGTTTTCTTTTCTTACATCATGATTCGATTTGCAGTTGAAGTCCTTTCTTCTGCAAGATGTGGTGAGTTATATACATCCAGATGTTCTAAGGCACCAGGCCCTTTTCTGAAAAACGGGCTCTGAAATCTTGGTGAGTTCTAGATCCAGAGAAAATTGTCAAGCAAGATAAATGATGCTTATGGGATTAGGGGTATTCTAAGCTCATTAAAGGGTTTATAAAAAATATAATTAGACTTGTCTCAAAGGTGGTAGTGGGGACTGAGGGCTACCAACATGTCTTACATAATGCATTTTTCATCTCTGCAGTGGGGAGTGGGAAATGCCCATGCTGCTGCTCAGGGAGCAGCACTTTCATCTTGCACAGCACTGCAAGGTAGTGTGTGCCAGCCCCCACTTGGGACATGCCTTCCCATGGGAAGGGAAGATAAGGGAAGGACATGAGATAGGGAAGGACATGAGATTTCTCAAAACAAAGCCCCTGAGGAAGTATAACCATGTGACAGGTTTTTTCTTAGAATTTATAGGAAATGCTGCCCTGACTGAGGAATGAAACATGCAGAAGGCAGCTACAATGTTCCCCTGTATGGATTACAGCACATAAGTCTTCCATCTCTCTGTCTCTGCCCCTCTCATGCTTTTGCTCATATAAAAGAACTCTCAGCATTATTACTCCTCATTTCCTCCAGATGTTTAAGACCTTAATACAAGCATGAAAGAGTAAACTTAATGCCCTATGATGTATATTAACCTTGAATTTTATAGCTGATGTGTCTGAGCCACAGAGCAGTGAAACAAGTTGCCTGCAGTTATCAAAGATCTTCAGAGAATGGAATGAAAACCACTTTGATTTCCAGTCTTTCATACAGCCACCAGCATCTCTTCTACTTACCCAGCCTCATGTTCTCTGGGCAAAGATCAGTGATGCCTCTTACAGAGGTGAACACAGAATTCGGTCCATTAGAAAAATCCACTTTTTAAGCTGTCTGCCCTCTTCCCAAATTTAGGCTGCTGCATCTGAGCCTGGAAAGGCTCCCAGTATAACAAAACACTAATGGAAATCTAATTGCTGTAGCCTTATGATCCTGACCTAGCTAGAGTTTGCAGTGATTCAGAAGGTGTCACAGAGTTTCCCCACAACTCCTCTGCATGTCTCCATATTCTGTACAGGTCCCGGGTGGTCCTGAGGAACCAATTTTCTTTCCTCCCTAATACGGTCAGTGAAGAACTTTTCCCAAAGAAAAATTTTATAGCCGCTCAACAATGCCCTTATGAGTTTTTTTACCTTGCAAAAAGGGCCAGGGCACAGAAAGGACCTCAATATTTGTGAAATAGTGGAATGAGCATTTCCTTCACTGACTTTTTCATTATTCCCCTTCCTTTGTCTCTCTGCCTCATGAGCTCTCCCTTTATTTTTCTTTTTATCTCTCTCTTACCCAGGTCTCTCAAATTCTTTTGCTGCTCCTCTGCATGAGTTACCATCTCAAGAGCTCCATAAATGGTCTTGAAGTGCAATACACATGAAAGAAATTAAGTTCAATTAGATGCTGAGCTATAAAAGGAAATCTGCTTTGACTCTTAACAGTGACCTCCTGCATGGTGCTTACATGTTGCCAAGTTGCAATGAAAACAGCTCAAATCCCTACCTGTAAGATAGTGAAGTTCTCCAGCACACTGTTCATCATGTACTTCTCAGGAAGGTGCTTGAGTTTGTGGATGAAGTTGATCATGTATTCGCAGAGAGGGGAGCGGTGGATGCGGTAGGAGTAGTGTCCGTTCTCGTAGCGCGCATACTCTGTCTGCAGGGCAAAACAGAGAGGGGCACGTGGGGCTGTGCTGGCACACCAGTGACACTGTCACAAAAGGCACTCAGAACAGAAAAATTACAGTGGCACTTTTTAATAATTTTATGAACAGTGACCACAGTACTTTGCACCAAGGTCAGTCCCCTTGAATCCTCCAAGTTCTTTAGCTTGATTTCTTGTTTTCTTGAGAATGGTGGGTTCCAGCTTCTGAGCAGCAAACCCTCAAGGCACTGTGAAAGGTAACTAAGAGGAACAGACCGATTGACACCTACAGTCCCATCTGCATCTCTACTGGAAAAGTACTAAGTGTGAATAAACTGAAAAAGTTAATAACTACTGCTTTAGCAAGGCCAGGAAGTAATGATAGTAATATACTATGCTCAGGATGCTTTATAGTTAAAAAGACTAAAGCCTTCTGGGATCTGTGTGAGAGAACATAGAATTTATGCCCCCCACTTTAAAAAGGGTCTGGCCAATGATACCCAGAGGGATTTTTTTGTTCACATTCCCACCTTGGTTCCTATATATTTTATCTGCCTTTGAAGAGAAACTGAAGCCATATTCTATGATTTCACAGCAGACCCTTAAATGCTTGTAACCTTCTCTGACCTCAGAGGCTTGGTCGTCTTTCATGTGCACCATGACACCTCCCTTTAGCCCCTCTATCCCTTTGCAAATACTTAACTTCGGGCATGCCTATCATGTGGCTGGAGATGGGTTTTGGGGAAGGATGCACCTTGAACTGACTGCTGACATGAGAACAGCTGGTGTTCTGCACATAGATGCTTCTGCATCCTGAGGTTCCTTGAGAAACAGGGCAGCAGGGGGCATGTCAAGGCAGCTTTCTTAGCAGCGGAATGTGGCATCAAAAAGAATTTCTTCAATGCCAGTTCTATGCATAACCCAGTTATTTGCTGTTGCTCAAGCTGTAAGTGTATAAGCTCTAGATCTAATAAAGCTGTAAGGCTATAGTCTGTAAATTATTGCAGTCAAATTAATAGCTATAGTTTAGAAATGATCTGTTTAAAAAAACTGGTGAGAGTGAGGTGTTGCTTATATGTTTTCACATTTCTGGACTACAAAACACATCTGTGTTCCTTAGCTTTCTTTTGCTTCCCAAAAAGCCCCAGAGCATTGGCAGAGCTAAGAGTCATATGTATTTACATCTCCTCAGAAACTGAGATTTAAGGGGAAAGTAGCGAACACTAGCAGATCTTCAGTGAAATCCTAAGACAAGCATTTTGCAGGCTGAGTGATCTTACATCTATGGCATCCATCTCCCTGACAAGAAGCATGAGATATATTTTGCCTTGAGATACAAAGGCAGGATGCAAATACTCGAAGTGACAAAACGGCAGCCAGAGAGAATCTTGCACCTAAGTGTCTACTCCTTACCTCTACTTTCTCTACCACCTGCTTTCCAAAGGAACACACTTTGGTGGAACAGGTAATGACCATGTTTTCTGGGCTCTCATACTGGCTAGAAACACCATAGAAAGATCTGGATTCATCTTCAATATTGGTATTCAAATCAGCCTGCCAAAAAGAAGAACAAAAAAAATTCAGATGATTATCAATAGATGGTTGTGGCATTTTCTCACCATTACTTTACACAGCCAGGATAGTGAAGTATTGGGATTGTCCACAGCTCCTTAAGCAGACCAATGTGCATTGAGCCAGCAGGAGAAATCTGAAGAGTACTGAACAAAATCCTATTTCCACTTCAAAAAATGGTGTGGGTTTGCATACACATTGGGGAAATCTGGTGGAATATCCTCCTAACATGAAAAACATGACATGCCTTGGAGGTACTCACAAAGCATGTGGAGAGCAGACTGCAGAGTCAGAGCAGTGCAACAGACAGGCTAGACTGGCCTGACTCACCAGAAAGGAAAAAAATAATAAAGCAACAGCAATAAAGTTTTTCCACCCTAAGAACATAGTAAGGGAAAAGAGACAGCAGGGAAAAGGAATGTGTGAGTACACACACACATCAGGCTCAGGTACTACAAATGTAAATAGACAGGATGCAACATAAGGAATGTAGGTTACTGATGGATCCGGCCCAGTTACACCTGAATTCAAACCCATCTCCAGTAGCAGCCACAGTTTTCAAATGTGGGTGCGTAAGGCTGGCCAACTAAAGCCTCCTGTTGGAACAGAACTCCTAAAAATCCTGGCTGTCTGAAGCTTCCACCAGGGGTCATTCCAACCGCAGTTATGAAACAAGTGGCGGATCACTTAGGCTCTAGAAACACTAGGGGTGTGTGGGAATGCCCAGCTCAGCTCCCTCCCCTTCAAAACTGAAAGGGCAGAGCTCCTCTGTGCTCCACAAGCCCATGTGCTAATTCACATCAGCCTAAAAGCAAGGATCAGTTCCCATAGGCTGCTCCAAAGCATATTATTCTTCCAGCTGAGCTAAGGGAAGAGGAAACAGAAGAAAGTGTGTTCCTGCTACAGTGTGACTAAGACATCGTTAGATACCATTCTAGGAGGGTTTTCTTAACCAATGTCAGTGAAGAGATTTTTATTTGAGCTCAAGAGCTGCACTAAGGACAAGCAATGTGGTAGAACTTGACCACCACAATAATGAATGCCTGTCTTTCTTTGCCATGCAAAATACCTGTCTCTTAAGTGCCATGAGATAATAAATACTGTTAGCTTAGTTGTCTTAAGGAGCAACTTCACAAAAGGTTTAGGTCAGTCTAGAAAGTGACAGTCAAGTTTTCTCCCTTTCTGTAGACACCTGAGCTTGCTGCTGCCTTTGTGGCATCACAAAAGAGAAGGGCAAAAAGACTGCCTATTTTCATAGCAACACATACTTGGGTTGGCTTGAGACACTTGAGAAACTGCACCTCAGAGTTGTAGTTTGATGCCAGACTGGTCCTGACGCCAGGAGAGAGCAGTGTCAGTCTTCCAGAGCAGTTTGTGCTTCCCCATTCCTGCTGTACTGACACACATCTCTGTAGCTGTACTATAAGGCTCGCTGAGGAATTGTTCAAACATAGAAGGTGTTGGGAGGATGAGCAGCAGCAGGGATAGCAGAAGGCAGGACAGCTTATTCCAGTGAATTGTTATGGCCATGCTGAAGACCTTGGTATTAAATAACTGTAGTTATGCAGCTACTTTCTTTGTACCACAAATGCACCTGTATTACAGAATAGCAGTATTACTCCTTTCTGGTTTAGGTTTTTATTAAGTTACTGTAACACTGTACTTTAATACTGTAATATTCACTTCCATGTCAATGCAATCAACTGCATTACTTATTTCTCCTACACTCCAACTCTCTGAATAAAGATCAACTTCTTCCCTTGTCCAGAGAGGAGCTAGACTAGGAGTCCTTCACAGTATTTTTCTGCTACTTCCCTTGGGAGTCATAAACACAATGTATGGACTTGATTCCACTCTTCCAAAGAAATTCTCCCACTGAGTCAAAAAGAACAAAGGGTCAAGGCTACAGAGGCTTGGTCAGGCCACTGCTACATAAACACTTGCAGAACCAGATAAACATTTTCAGCATCTCACTAGTAAAGTTAAGGTTACATTCTCCAAAAGACTCACTGGTAAAATTTAAAAATATACACACAAAACGAGGCAAAGCAGAAAAGTGCTAGTTGCACTTTATGAGAAAAGCTTCACTAGCTCTAAGAAGCTACTCTAGGTGCTCCCACAGTTTGGCAAGCCTCCCATCACAAGGCCAGACTAGAATTTCACAGCCAATTAACATCTAATTAATCAACATTAATGGTAAAACTACGGTAATACTGTTTGAACTAAGGAGTTGTCACCATTCACTGACATTATGTACAATCAGGTACCTGGAAGCCCTGTTGCAGTGGAGCAGTGGGATCATATTGGAACTCCCTCACATTTACACTGTGTTTTATTCTAAAACTTGTCCCATATTATGGGCTAGGACAGTCAGACATGGAGTGATCAGTTACCAGGAGCTGTGTACCCTCCTCCTGTCACCTTTACAGATCTCATAAACATACATACAGGGAATTTCAGCAACTCCAGGGAATGACAGTAGCAGTTTGCTGAGAGCTTCAGCTCATGTTTGCAGGAGAATGCAGCTGGAGCACCCCAGACACTGCTGGCCTTACAGTCACAGCTTTTTCACCTATTTACAGCTGCTGGTTCCCACTTTCTTAAGAAAGGCACTGCCCCTGTACCAGAGGTTATTTAGCACACACAAATCTGCTCTTGAACTATTTGCAACCTGGTTTATACATGTGAACTGAAAATAGCAATGCTGTACATGAATACAAGACCAAGGAGCAACTCAGAAGTGGAACTCCCATCTCTTAGCTTTCCCTGCTGTGGAGATGATTACCTCCTGAAGGGAGACAAGGCAGAAAATTGAGGAAGAAAAGTGCAATCTGCCATAGCCAAATTAACTTCCAAATGTCAACTGGACACTGGGGTAATTCACAAAAGGATGCAGTTAAACTTCTCAGGATTGCATGAGGACAAGACCATAGTGACCAAAAGAGCTACTGCATTTAGCTCGACATCTAAAAACACTATGGCCTTCATGCCTAGATTCCTATGATTTCCTCACAACACCTAAACCATCAGGACTACATTGCTTCTCTAAAGAAAACCTTGTGTGAAAGCACATCCAGTGCCGGAGCGAGCACCCGAGGTGAGCAGAGACAGGTCTGACTTACTGTGTCCAGTACATTCCACCCTGAAAAGATGCAAGAGAATAATAGTGACTATGATTCAAAGGAAATTAATCTTCCCACAACTCCATCAAGCAGGAGAGCTAATCTTCACTTTATGGTCTGAGAATGCATAGAATTTTTTTATACATAACTGGATGTGACTAGAACCCAGGTGCCTCAACTCCTGTCTGGCAAATGCCCTGGTATGTCCAACAACAAATGAAATGGTCTTAAATAAATTCCTTAGCCCAGGATGGAAAGCCAAAGGAGACATAGGCAGGATTTAGTAAAGTGTCACTGAAGGGGCTGAGCTGCCTGGCCCCTCCAGGCTCCTACTTGCCACTGCTAGAACAGGGTGGGACTGCGGGGGCAGCAGCAGCAGGATTCAGGCTGTTGGGTGGTGTCCAGCATTCAAACAGCTGTTCTCAGTCTCTTTTACAGGCAAAGGTAAAGATCAAATAAATGAGACATATTACAAGCTAAATCTGAGTTAGGAGCCACCAGCTGGACCAAACTACTTTATCTGACAAAGTCAGGGTTCTTGCTTTCTGTCCCAGAAGTTCCAAATGCAAAAACCTGAGCAACTCTGTCATAGCAAAGATCTGATGTGTCTGGGATGTGTTTAACTTGCTTTGTAAGATCAGCACAGATGACACACTTATCCACAGCTTGTCTGATGACTTGCAAACATGCTGAAACCACAGTCACTGAGATATCTGTGATACAGCAAGCACATCCCAGATATTCACATACTGCATGCAAGAGTGAATCTGCCTGCTTGGAGGGGTAACATCTGGGATTCCCTCCTTTCCAGAGAAGTAAGCATAATGTTTCATTACCTACAATATAGGATTTCTAGATGGAAGAGAAGGGATTTGTTCTGGGAAGAGCATAGTAGCCCTCCACAAGTTAATATGCTCCTTTCTCCCCTCCATCTCTGGAAAAGATTCTTTGAAAATTCCTCAGCAATTTAATCTTTCAATCTGCCTTTTGCTGCTAATAAGCTGTTGAACACTGTGGGAGACAACTTAGGTGAAAGTGCCATTGGCAGAGTCCGCTTACATAAGGGTGGTGGTGCTGGTGATGGCAGGTGAAATTACTGTGTGTAATAATCATAAAATTCTCAGTTTCTAGCTGCTGTCTTGTTTGCTGCCTGAGGAGTACCAAGAACAGAGTGAACGTGAAGACCAAATTGCCATTCCTTGTTCTCCAGGCAGTTCCAGGATTGAAAGCATCCAGTGGGCAAGGCAGGGTGCTAAGGGCAGTTTGCACTGCTGCTGTTTTGACTGGATTTGCTTGTGACAGGAGAGAAGCCAGGTGCAAGACAGCAGTTTCCAGCCCACCCCTTCAGCACTTTCCCACAGAAGTAAATTCCATTTAGCTGAAAGGAGCACTCAGACGCTCAGAAGATCGCTTGCCTATCAACAAGAAGAAATTACTACATACATTCTTCATAGGCAGGACAAAAATTCCCCTGATTCATGTCTCTGCAGATGACTGCTCTGTGCAAAGTACTACCCGTCCTGAATTACTGATTTGTCATTTTTCCTTCTGTCTTCCATGCAGAGTCTCACAACTTCTGAAAGCCCCAAGATGTAAGTGCACCATTCTACTAACGTGCAAAGCCCTGAGAACGCCTCTTCCCCAAACTATTAATAACGATCCACAGAGGAGGAGTTCACAGGGAGAAGCAAGGAACAGGTGGCAGAGATAATATTAGCCTGGAAAAGAGCAGGACTGCCACTGTCCATGTGTTGGGAGGCTGATGTCTCACATTCATTGTCGTGTGCTAGAATGCACTTGGAGCACAGAGAAATGTCACACAGATGTCATGCACAACTTGCCAACCCAAGTCCAAAAATCAGTTCATTGTACCAAATTCCCAATGCCAAAATCAAGGAAGAATTGCAAACACTGCAACACTCACTATGTTTCAAACTCATCAACTCTCAACTTTTAGCTATTGTATAGATAATTTAAAGCATCTTTGAACAAAGGTGAACATCTCTTTCTCAGTCATACTAGATCCTCAGTGCTACCACAGAGGTCAAAAAACCTCAACCCTGGTGTTTAGAATTAGGCTTCTGGTACACAACAGATGATTTGGTATATTCAATGGTTACTGTAGCAATGGTAGGTTCATGCCTTGGGTTCTTCAAGCCTAAAACTGCAGATACACAACCCCAACTTACTCATTCCTTGATTTGTTTAAAGTCTTTGTCACCTGCAACCACAACTTCCACTCAGAACCTCTGAAAAATCAATCATGTCTTCATGTCTCAAAGCTTCTCTTCAAGTATTTACTTCTATTCACCATTTTATCCTAAAATGATGCTATAAAGTCAATGGTGTAGTAACTGCTTTATCCAATACATCTTTGAACATCAACAGCATATTTGTATAGTTGTCCAGAGCTATCAGGCAGCAAAATGAAAAAGCACCCTAGCACATACTGCTACAAAAGTATGAAAATGCAGAGGGATATAAAAATTTCTGCTGAAATCTAATTTTCTTCCTTTTTTGTTTTTAATCATATTGCCTTATTTGTGAAAAGTGTTTGTTTTTTTATTTGCTAATTAAGTCTTAGAAACTTACCTTTAACTAATGACTCGACTTGTAAACTTTGCCTGTTTCTAAGTGATAAGCTGTAATGAGTGCCACCAATAAAACCTGATGTTAACTGCAGATGGGATTCAACAATTCAAGGGTACCAAAAAAAAGTATGAGACAGTCAAAATATTAAACCAAGCCCAGAAATATTTCTGTCCTTTTAAGTACAGAGTTGCAGAGCCCCACAGCCTTGTGCACACATTGGAGTACAGCTGTTTCAAATCCTATGTCACATCTCTTTAATCAAGCCAAATTCCAGTGAGCTGATACCCTCTGAACACCTCACGTGGGAGCAGAAAAAACCCAGCTTGATGGCATGCCACCATCTAAATCTTTCAAAACCCTGACAGAGGTTGGTCTGACATGGTGCATAGGGTACATTTATACTTCTGATATTAAAAACCAAGTTATCACAATCCCCAAACTGAACCACAAAAGCAGAAAAGCACACTGTCAATTTTGATAAATAAATCACAGTTGCAGCAGATCACAATTTCATGACTTGTCTCTCTTCACGTCAGGGAGTTCAAAGTGTTTAATTATCTCTGTGTAACATCTCCCTCTAAGATCTTTCTTTCGGTTCTTGAAACTTCCAAAGCACAAAAGGCAATCAATACCTTTTAAAATACCCTGTCAAAAGATAAGCTTCTCAGCAAGGTGCTGTTTTCTCTCCCAGCCAGAACAGAGCTGATCTTCCACCTTTTGTTTTGAGCACTCCAGGCAGGCTTTGTTGTACTTTGCCAGGAGCTAATCCCACAAAGGGCTCAGCTCAGTAGCAGAGACTGCAGGTAATAAAATTATGTGTCCTGAAAAATCAACAGCAACCAACACTCTAGGCACAGGCACTTGAGAAGAAGACTCCCAGCCAACATTCTCCAACTCATTTCTGGAAAGGCTAGGCTTGGGACAGCTGGGAAGTTGCATCTCAAGGCACTTAACTCTTCCTTCTGAAAGCACCAGACAGGAGGCTTTCCAGTGCCACTTTGTATGAAGGGAATGAGATATAAAAGCTCATTTTTCATCATCTCACTCTGACTTGAGGTTGAATGATGTGGTAAACTCAAGGTGAAAGGCTCCAAATCCCATTACACATTCCCTCAGCCATCTACTGTACAACTGCCCTGAGCTACTATTATTTTTAATTTCATAATTCCTATGATAATATCAATCACCAAAGCTATTTTGTTTGTACCTTGAAGCACAATGGCACAGTTTTTGCAAATTTCAGTTAAATCACAAAAATCCAAATTGAGTGAGTAAGCTTTTGCCAGGCTGATTTCTACCAATTTACCAGAAGTCATTTCAGTAATATATTATCAGCATAATCCAATTTCATTATATTTTTCTCTTATCTCTTGCTCTTCCAGCAGTAAGTATGCATCTGTAAATTATTAGTATTGAATAACACAAAATGCAGCTACAGAGACCGGAGAAGAGACGGAAAAGTATTGCTTCTGGCTGAGGAGTTACACAACACTGAGAGAAGTGAAGCCTAAGAGTATGCAGAGAATAATTTTCTCTGAATTCTTTACTTATACATGAATAAAAATTCTAGAGGGTCCAAGTCACCATTAGCAAATCTGCAGACAGTAGTCAACAACAACTCTACAGATGGACAAGGTGAAAGATACATCTGCTGCAGACCAGAAAGTGTGCCTTGTGGGGTCAAGGAAAGATCTTGTGGGCTCAATAAAAGTGACAGTGACAGAAATGTGGCTGTTTTATTTAAGTTGTCTACATGGGGAAAAATTCGTTGGGAGGCAGCAGTTTTCCAACAGCCAGGGAGGTCACAGCTTTAAAAGTGACAACCTTCACAGCAAATGGGTACCCTTACAGAGGGCCCTTCTCTTACCCAGAATTTGACAAGGAAGAAGGCATTGGCTGGCCCCCTTTCAAAGAGCTCCTTCAGGCCCCCTTTCTTCTCAGGGAACTTGTCATAGATCTGCCGGATATCCACTGCCTCGAGGTAGGGGTCATTGTAGCTGGGGCTTGACTGCCCAATGTGCACAAACAGGTGCTTGTTGTACTGAAAAAAAGAGGAAAAACATGGGATTAGAAAATGGCTCAGTACCATTCAGTACCTACTGAACATCCACTGTCCTTCCCAGAAGACTGCTGGAAGTCAATGAAGATTTGATAGAGTTTTCTGAAAGAGCAGAAGAAATCAATAGAAATATCTCTACTAATAGCAGCTCATGCTGTTCTTTCCTTCCTATCAATACATTCACACTTTTTCCTTCTCTGAAACACCATTGTTGGGTTTTTTCTTCCTATTTTCACTCCTAAGTTGTTGCCTTGTGCTGCTGCCATATAGTCTGCAAAAACCTGAGACACAGTGTTACCTGTGACAGGTCACTCAGTCAAACATTGATGCTCCTGTCCTATGAAAAGTCTGAAATCCCAGAGCAGATAAATCCCAGGCAAGTAACACTATCTTTTCTGAACTCTCCTATCTCAGCCCATCACCAGAGCACATCTCAAGATGCAGAATCAAAAAGTTTAGTGAGAGAGGCAAATCTTACTACTTCCATTTCACTGTGGAAACACATTGACGCAAATTCATCACAGTTCCACCAATTTTAAGTTCTTAGCACACCAGAGAAACACATGGCTTTATGTGATCCTAGCAACTTCTGATTTTGGGTTCCATATTGGAGTCTATCTTACAAGGCTGGACAGGACAGCCAGAATAGCCTGGCAGGGGCTTATGACCTCAGTGCCTGGGGCTCTGGTGTATGAATATCCACCTGGACAGGGAAGCCAGAAGCACAGTGCACAGACCTGGTTCTCTCACTACTTATCCTCTAAGAGGAGGATATCTGGTGCTTCCCAAAGGTGCCTTTCTGTTCTCCAAAGAGCAACAAAACAAGTATTTCCATATGCATAGAGTGTTATAACACATCCATGAGGAACAAGAGCTGTCCAAAGATGCAAAATTATTGAGAGGTGGAAGGAAGGTGTGTTTCTTACTGTGTCTTGGTCTTGTTGTTGTTCCAAGAATGCAGAGAACTCCAACATCCAAAGTTTGGAGCTAGCAACCCTTCGTCCTTGCCAAGCTGGTGCTGATGGGGAAGGTGAGAGGCCAGCAGGAGATTCAAACCCTAAGCACACAGGATTTATATAACAATAATTTAGAAAAAAATGGCAATGGCTTTCCAGTAGAACACCTACTGTCAAAGCTGACTCACAGTTTCCTTATGGCTTCATTCAACATGCAAAAATATCATCCACAAGGCCCTCAGTCTACCTGTGCTCTAAATGGCTTGCCAGTCACCCTCTGCTAAGACAGCACTGCCAGGGGTCATGATATAAAGGACAAACCACACTGGTTTGACACCAGGGAAAACATGTTCAGCAACTTTAAGAGGATTTAGACAGAGCCCAAAAGGAGCAGTGAAATAAACTGTTTAGTATCAGAATGAGGTGTCACCATTGATCTCTCAAAATGGGGAAGCTGAGAAGGAAAAGACATTTGTTATTCCACTTAATAAGAAATTAGGAACACAATCATGTTATAGATTGTTATAGAACAGTGTTCTAGAGCATGAAGCACAGTGGAAGACCAGTAGAGATAATGTAAACTTTTATTCTCTGCTGAGCCAAGAAGAAAAAAAAACCAACACAACCAATATAAAACAAGAAGAAAACAAAATTCACAAGCTTCAGCTCTCTCAGTAAAAGGATGAGAACAGGTAATAAGAGGAAATCATATAAAAATTGGTTTTGGCTCTTTGAAATGTTTCAATAGGTTTGTTTTTTTTTTTTTAATTAACTTTCAAGATTTTTAGAGTGCTGGCTGTTTTCGAAGTTGGAATACAATTTCAAAGGAAGGAAGTACATTTCCTTACCTACCTGGTATTGGAAGCGGAGGCTGTACAGCATAAGGTTGTTGAGAAAAAGGTTTCACACTAGAGAAGTACACAAAGTGAGGTGGTAAATAAAAATACAACCAAACAAAAAAATATTCTTCACTGACTGTTTGGACAGATTAGATAAAGTATTTCTCCTCAGACAGAAAGTGGCCTAAGTGTCTTTCGGAAATTATCTTTCTATGTGGGCAAGAGAAGGGTGGTGGGCAAACACTCAGAAAGCAGTAAGGGGCCAGGACTGGACAGATAAAAATTTCCCTGCAGGTGTTCAGCAGGCCCTCCCTCCAGATTTGTTTTTCTGAGATCACTATCAGCCTCTTAATACACTGGTGCCCATCTATTTATCCTTTCCTTTCAACTACGAGTAGTTCTATATCTTTGCAAGTGGATATAGGTCTGGATGCCTCTCAGACTTTCAGGCCCAAATTCAGAGACATTCAACACCCACAGGTAAACACAGTTTTCAGGAGAGCTCAGCTCCATTTTAACACTACTGTAAGAAAAATGAAGGCCTTAGCATTTCACAGATCTTGTAATAGCTAATGGTGTTCCCCAGGCAGCAGAGAAAGCAGCAGAAGCACCTGCTTTGGATGCTCCGTGAAGGAATACTTACTCCTGGGAAGATCCTGCTTGGCCTGGCAATGGTCCTTGCCAAAACTGCAAGAGAACAACACATAGGCAGAAGTCACCACTCTTAGGACAGAGATGAAAAGGAAGGCTTGCTCTTTTCTGAGGAAACAAGCTGCAAGCTCACAGACCTTTAAAGATGTGAATGAGTTCTCTCTTCTTTTTACATTCCTGGATTCATTCTTGTGGAGATGCTGACTGCTCTTTTTTTTTCATTCTACACACTACTACTCATGATATGCAAAAGACTGACCCGAAAGTGATCTTTAATATTAAATATTATGCATGCAACTTGTGCCTCTGTCTCGAAAGCTTTTATGATGCTCACTCTCTTGGAAGGACCATTTTCCCCAGGAAAGTTCCATGGGAGTTATTTTGGCAGAAATCAATGCTCAGCAAATGCTCACTAGGCCCAACTCATAGGTACAGAGATGCTGACAGACCTTTCTCTATTAAGGATTTTGTGTAAGGGCCATCTGATTAAAGTGCTGAGAAAAAGATTGGGAAATATAAACTTGAGAAAGGGTCAGGATGGCCCAAACATATTTATTCCAAAAAGATGCTGGACTAAGAAAGTGATATGAAAATCCAAAGGAACTGATTGTTCTCTCCCTTGTATCATTTAAAAAATATACACAGTGAAACTCTATTGTTTTATATCAGTGTGAGCAAAGAATTGGACAAAACTGTTGAAGCCACATGACAGATTTATTCTACAGAGACAATGCCTTTTGGCCCCTTCTGTCTCAGTTCTCAGGATTTTCCTGAGCAAGTCCCAACATCCTTTCAAACAGTCAAGTGTCTTCTGAAAACTCCACCAAGTCACTGATCCACTCACCCCAGAAACAGCAGGGTAGGCTGGTCGTGGGAGACCAGGCAAGCCCATTTTACTATGGAAGGAAGTTGCAGAGATAATCTGGGCAGATGACATTGTAGCCATACTCTGCATGGCTTTGTCTTTAGCTGCCTGATCCTATGAGCAAGAACAGAAACAGAAAAAACAGGATTATTATAATGATTAACTAGTTGCCAGCTCTAATGGTCTATAAACAGAATTCTTGTCAGCTTCTCTGTCAGGAACAGGCATCTCTGAAATTCTGGGCAGTAAACTCACCAATAACTGTCCTAAGAACTCTTTAAAGCTGTAAGGCTGTGACTCATTACTATAGCTTCAGATGTGAATTATCAGGCTTTCTGAAATGCTGGTTTAAAGACTGAGAAGCATTTATCCTTTCTTTCTGTCTGAGGGCTTTCGACCATACAGCTGAAAAGTTTTGTTGTGGAAAGTATATCCCTAGCTGACTCTTGTGTTTTAATTATTGGTAACAAATATGCAAAGGGAAAGATTCTTGATTACAAGAAAAAAAAAACCTGTGAGGCAAAGGTCACAAAAAGAGATCATCACCATCACTGCAGAAAGGACTACCTCAATTTGGGACTGTATTAGTCTCAGACAGAGTTTATCATTTTATCCCTATCTTTCAAGTTTCAATGAAACTTGAAACCTTCATAATCTCCAGGGCACATATGCAGGGACAATCCTTTTTGTATTTTAACAGGACTGTAGATTTACACACATTCTTACAGGCAATGACAGTGCCACAATTAGTGGGTCTGAGTTATGTATAAAACAAACAGCATTCTTCATTTCTTCTTTCCTTCAAGGTATAAATAGGCAAACAGAAGCACTTATCTTCTCTCTTTCCTCCTACATCCCCTACAATTAATCTGCATCCTTTAAACATTCCACATTTATCTGTGGTATTATAATTACCACAGAAAACTCACAGATTAATTCATAGCTTGAAGAAACTGCTGAAAGAAGCACAACAGCCCTTGCTGTCTTCTTCAGGAATTCTCACTTCCCACATGCATTCACTGAACTGCAGTAAGTTCTCACCCTTGGGCCTCCATTCTTTCTAACCCCTCCAACCTATCTAAGGTTCTCTAAAGTTCAAAGCACAAATATCCTAATGTGTGTAAAAAAAAAAAAAAAAAAAAAAAAAAAACAACAACAACAAAAAAAACAAGTGGAGAAGCCACCCTAAAAAAATCTCAATAATAAATGTTAATGTTCAAGGAATGATCACTAGAAATGGGCAAAACTTAACCTCTTCTTTTTTAGAGCATTTGTGACTTCAGTTAGTACCATTCAAGTGAATGGAAGGGAAACATTTTAATGCGAGAAAATTCCTAATACTCTCCAAAGCTATGGGAAATGTTTTCAGAATCCAGTATAAATTATGCCTTAGGGAATAATTGAAGGATTACCTATATTTTTTAAGGAAAATTATTATTTTCTGGGGTTTTTTTAATATATATATAAGAACTATTTCCCATGTGCCATTGCAGGAAACGATTTATTTCCTTCCCTTATATTCTCATTGGAAAAATTGTATTTGTCTACCTCAGTTTATGGGGAAGATGCATTTACTTGTGGAGGCATTAAAAGTTAAAAGAAAATGTAAAATAATTAGGGAAGGAGAGTATTTTACCTATTAACCTTTGCTGTGTTTTTGTTTTGTTTACATGCTTGACAGAATGCTGGAAGGAGCATGTTTTTAGAAAAGACACCTTTCTGTTTCAGTTCTATACTAATTTCAAGTGTTTTCAAATATAAAAAGAAAAAAAAGGAACAAAGGTAAAAAACTTTGATAAACATGATAAAAACAATAAAAACTTTGACCAAACATTTGCAATGTTTGTATTTTCTTTTATTATTCTTAAAACACATAATAATGATGATGGTGATTATGATTATGATGATGATGATAATACCATCACATCACCATGATTTCCCAATTTTTTCCTTAGTGCAGATGATATCTATTAGCCACCCAGGGCATGGAAAAACTACTAACTTTTGGGAACAGAGTTTTCTTCAAGTTCTACCCTATTTCCCTGCTGTATTGTTTACAGACACAGTGGACATTTAAAAAACACTCCAGTTTGTGTGAAGGTGGAATTATTGCAGTCACTACTCTGAACAGTCATCATGTAGCTGCCCTGATCACTAGGATATAAACACAAAATCAAGCACTTGCTATGGAAAATGAGCAGTGATAGGAGAGCACACAGCTGTCAGCAGGACCTGGGAGGAAGGGCAGCAGTTTCTGTGGTTTCATTTCCCTGCTCTATGGAAATGGCCAGAGAAATCAAAGAAGTAAATGAGTTGAATCAGTGCTCCTGACCTGCCGCTGCAGGCGGAAAGGAACAGCCTGGTCCTGGGGAAGGGTTCTCTGCAGGCAGCTGGGCAGAGCTCACAGCATGGCCTGGCTGTGTGAAGGGACAGCAGCCAATGGCTCCGTGGAGCTCCCCGAGACACCTTCGCTCCCTGAGAACAAAACCGGCCAGCGCCTGTGAGCTAAGTGGGAACAGGCTCGGCTGGCTGGCTTTCCAATCATGCCCAGCCCCAGAGCTGTGTCACACAAGGAACAGAATCAAGGTTACAGATGTAAGCAGCAGTGAGGCTTTTAACACCCTGGGCAGTTGTTGTTTCCTGCTCGCTCTGACTTGCCTCTCCAGCAGGCCTGCACCTGAACTCACCACTTAACAGCACCACAGGTTTCAAGCTGAGGCAGTCCTACCTGGGTGCATTGAATTAGATAGTTGTAATTTGTGCCTCCTTCTCTTTATCAGAGCAGCTGGTAACACAACAGGCTAATAAAAGACACAGCACAGCTTTCTAAAATGGGGCTGGGATGTGGGGGTGTGCTGTCATGGCTTAGAGACAATCACTGATTGCAACAGAGCTGCATGCATGTCAGCCCTGGGCAGCTGAGTGCCAGCAGCTCACACACAGGACATTCCATTTGCCCTGGTGCCCAGTGAGGAGCTGCCCAGGCAGCCTAGAGGAAGCACATGCTAACAGCCATCCCTCAGCAGCCAGGGCTGGGCTGTCACGGTTATTGTCACCTGAAGCATGGAAAACCAGGAAAGCAAACTCTCTTCCTTCCACATTACTTAGGGCCATACCAAACAGAAAGGTCAGCATTCACCTTCCTTCTCTGGCTGTCTCAGTGAAACATAACAAGGCTCAGACCTCACATCCTGCTCAGCAAGCCCTTTCTGGATAGCTCACATTTTAACGGGGGACAGGCACCCTCTTCTGCAATTGTCACATACAAACTTGACCTTCTCAACATTTCTGGCAATTCAGTCTGAGCACATAAACCATTTCCCCACATCAAATCCGAGTGGAAATAAATGTCAAGAGGTTCATTAGGGTGATCTTGGAGCTTTTCCTATGGAAAGGAAAACACAGCTTTTCTCAAACAAGTATTCAACCATTTTCTCTTTCTCGTTAGCACCGGCCTCTTCACATCAGGTTTGAATTAATCAAGGAGCAAAGTCTATTCAGCTAGCACCATTTTACCTGAGAAGATGCCAGCTGGCTTTATTGCCTCCTCTCAGTGGACAACTCTACATCACTACCTCTAGTAGAAGTGTAGCTGGTGCTCTGATAACTCTAAGGCCACCTTTTCCCAAGGCCACCACAACACCAGCAACTGCTTACTGGTCAGCATTTGTAAACATTTCCTGCTCAGGTAAACACTCTCTGCACACTCCTAAGTCTAAGGGTCTTTCAGATTTGAATGACAACAGCATAAACTGGAGGTAAGAAATAAAACACATGAAATTTAAAAAGTTATTGTTTCTTTATTCTTTAAATAGAATTGCTCCAGACGTCACAGAGCTTCAACAATAATGAATGTTTGCACAACATTTCCTGGGAAGAACCTTTTCCTCTCCAGCCTACTACAGGTCAGTGATTAATCTCTCAGGCTTTTTTAAGGCTATTCAAAGAGGGAGTAACTGATTTGGGGGAGCTTGTGTGATATGCTAAAGGATATCCATCATACCTTGAGCTTGGCTTGGATCTCTCTAGCTTTCCGCCTTGCCAGCACCTGGATGTGACTAGATACCTGCATTGAAAGACAAAATTCCATGTTCATTCCAGAGGAATACTTGGCAGCCTCTTGTAGAATTAAGCAGTTAATTAGGGTTGGGGGTAGGAGGGATTGGGGGTAACAAGGAGCTGCTTTTCTGAACATAACTCCAGTGCAATGAAATGGGGTGGAGGGCCTGCAAAGATGAGCCATCTAAGGCAGGTCCAGGCTGCTCAGTGCTTTGTCCAGCATAGCCTGGATATTCATGCCGAAATTACAAAGATTCCTTTTCCATCTCATGCGCCAGGTATTTTCAAAATCATCATTGTTGACTGGTCTGCTTGGGCTAAACAAGAAATCTTAGCGCAGAGAACAACTGGTGCTCCCTGAAACACTCCTTAGTAGGCCAAGCAAATAAAATCATACTATTTAACAGCAGAAAAATTGTGGGTCACAGTATGATTGGCAGACATGAGCATTACAAACTTCCTGTAAAATGCCTGAGCTCTCTCTTCCTGCCATTCTTATTAACCAGCTCAGCATAACAGCCTCCTTGCAGCAAAGTCAGAAACTACCAACAAGCAAACAGCAAGAAATTTGTTCTCATTAGCCCTCATAATCTCTAAAGGTCCAAAGAAGGTAATCCTTCCAGAGAAAAAGGGAAAACTGTACCTTACCTGTTTCCTTGTGCGTGTTTTCCCTGTTCTCAGCTTAATATAGCGGGCAATCAACTCATTTCGGCCTGGAACACAGAAATGGTGCAAATCCAAGTTTAGAAAGCAGTGACCCCAGCAAAATACATAATTCCATTTTGTATCTAAAGAGATCAGCAGCAGGATGACTCTGTCACATTCTTTTCTTTCTTAGATTAGAAACATACTAGTGCACAAGGTAGATGTCTGACTTTTAGGAGCAGTCTCCTATAACATCCCCATAGACAAACTGACAAAGTTTGGGCCAGATAGCTGGACAAGGTGGCTTGGTGAAAACTTGCAGAACAAGTGGATGGGGTCCCAGCTGACAATGAGCTGACAGTGAGGCAGCAATGCACCCTTTATGGCAAATCCCAGTTGCCAACAGGTCAAGGGAAGTGATCCTTCAGCTCCACTCGGCACAGCTGAGGCAACATGTGGAGTACTGAGTCCAGATCAAGTCTCCTCAGCATGAGAAAGTGTAAACACACTGGAGCAAGTCCAGCAAGAAGTCAGCAAAAATCATTGAGAGACTGGAGCATCTGTCCTATGAAGAGAGGCTGAAAGAACTGGGTCTGTTCAGCCTGGAGAGGACCTAGGGGCAGTTTTTAATCAATAATAATAATAAAATAAATACTGATGGAAGGAAATAAAGGGAAAAAGGGAGCCACTCTCAATAGTGCTGAGAGATGGAACAAGAAACAACTGATACAAATTAACACATGAAATTCTGTCTAAAAACAATTAAAAAAAAAAAAAAGAAGAAAAACTTTTTACTCTAAAGGTGAGTGAACACTGGCACAGGCTGCCCAGAGAGGCTGTAGTCTCCATCCCTGAAGGACAGTAACAACCTACTGGACACTGCTTGAGCAGCAGGGCCAGACTAGGCAGTCTGAAGATCCCTTCCAACCAAAAGGAGCCTATAATTCTGTGTAACCAAGTCCAAGAAAATAAACAACAAGGGGGAAGCACATGGAAACAGCTACACAGAATTTATCAGTGTGATATGATACACTGAATTACAAGTGCTTTCAGGCACCTGCAGGCAGACTATCCAGCTTTATTACAGTGGCTTCCAGTGTATACCATCTAAGCAGTCACACAGACTTTATTGTCTTTCTGGAGATGGAGGAAGCAAGAGCAGAAACAGAAAGGCAGAAGTGACGTGTCTGAACTCAAGGCTGGTTCAAAGCAGAAAACACGACAGTGAAAGAGCAGGCTCTGCAAAATAAAACATTTGTGGTCACCACAGTAGTATCAAGATAGTACTGCAATAAAAAGTTGGGAGTAGGAGCTGCAAGGCTGTGAGACATTTTGATATGGCTGCAAGTGTTTGCAGAATGGAGCAGGAATGAACCAGGAAACAAAGCCACAGCTCTTGCGAAGTTTTTTTATAACAAAATTATAAAACCCTAGTATTGTCTGGGAAAGCTTGTGGGCAAAGAACTTGTATATTAGGACATCACAGACATGAGAAAGCAAGCAGTGAAATCAGTATTACACTATCAGTATTAACTATTCCAGTAGTTAAATATTCCATGAAAAAGCAGTAACTTTTTCTATTTTAAACTCTTTATTTCTCTCAACTCTGAAATAAAGTGTATGCAAGGAAAGACTGCTGAAATTGACCACTCAAGCCTTTAGGGAAGAACTGGCAAAGCCCTTAATTCCATCTGATTCTGAAACAGAACAATGCAAATGTCCATGACTGCAGTTAGGCCAGGTTCGTGAAACACAACCAACGCACACATAGGAATGGGAAAGCATTTTACATACACAGATCCTAATCTTTCCCTAATAGTGTCATTGTAGCAGCTCCCCTTATTCTCCTGGGAGAAGGAACAGGTCTGTAGCTGAGAAATCCAACCCAGCTCCTGTAAACACAAATGAGGAACTGTGTCTGTGCCAGAAACACAATGCCCTGCCATGCAAGCACTGACCTCTCCAGCTCCCACAGTTTCTGCCTGAGCACAGTGACATGCCCAGGAGAGTTTGGAGGGAGCAGATGCTGCTCTGCCACCTTCCACCTGGCTGCTCTTCCAACCCACATAAACCATTTTCACAAAGCTGAGACCAATTATAGCAACACACATCCACACCACCTTCCTCCTGTGCCAACAATAACATTTATGGCTTCTCAAAGCTTCCATCTGTTTAGACGTGGATCCAAGCTGAAAGGTAAGAAACAACTGAAGTGATTCTTCTCAGACAGATGCCGTCATGTAAGAAATTTCAGAAGGACTGTTTGACACACGTCAGAAATGAGAAATGTGCTGAACAAAACAAGGCACTCAAACCTTATTATCTATAAAGAAAGAAGAAGGGAATGTTTGTTTCAGCAAGAGGATCCTTTGAGAGGCAAGGCAAATGAGTTAATAGAAAAGAGAGGAAAAACTAGCCTTGAGAAGAAGAGGATGTGGAGAATTTGAGGCAAACTTCTAAAGGGCATGTATCAGGTTACACTGAAAAGTTAAACACATGGGAACTCTCCAGACACTGGCTCAATTATGGGTGATCCTTGCAAAACTAATTTCAATGGATTCTCAACCAGATACAATAAATCTTATGGAGCAAATTCATGTGTATAGTGGGTCAAGTAAAGAAATTATGGAGGCTGAACAGTCAGACAGAACATTATTCTGCTGTAATAGTAAGGGGCTGCAGGGTAATTGGTATGAGAGGATGCCATGAACAGCTCTGTGCCAGTCGTAGTGAATTCCAGCCACCACCAAAGTGGATGAAAATAACAATCAATCCATCAAATCCTCAAGCAGAGGAGCACAAACTACCTTTGCTCAAATATATTTTGGAAAGGGCAAGAGCCAGTAGGGACAGGAGACACATGAGGAGACACAAGAGGAACCACAAAAGGAGACATGAGAATGCACAGCAGAAATACAAGATAAGTAAAAAGATTAATATAGAGAAAAGGAGACATGGTAGGGGACATTCCTGGGGATGTGGCTGGAAAAGTCATCTTGGAAAAAGTTGCTCCATGACAGAAAAACATTTTGAGGCAACTGCAGCACCCACACCAGAGCAGAGACAGCCCTGAAAGGACTGCAGCCCACTGAAAACCCAAGAAGCTAGAAACAAGGAGCACCAGAAGGGAAACAAAACAAAACCAAAAAAAGCAGGAACTGGCAGAAAGAGACCTTTACACAGTGATGCCAATCTCCTGCGTCACCCAGCACCTCATCAAAGGAATTAAGAGGGACTGAGTGTTAGAGAGAACAAAAGAAGGGAAACAGAGTAGGAAGCAGGGAGGAGAGACAATAAACTGTAGTCAGGCCTGGGAAACTGGGAGGTATTTCCATAAGTGTGCATTTAACTGTTTGTCTTTGACAACAGCAGCAGCAAAAATTGCAAAGTCTTCTCAGGCCATATACTTCACCAAAAAAGACTAGTGGGAGGGGGAATTGTTGTACAAATGGCAAATATTAGATACCAGTACAGAAATTCTCTAGAAAGAAACTCTATACAGAGAGCATTTAACTGTGGATCATCAAAATTTCCAGTTTTAGAATTCACTTTCCACTTGCTAATACCTCTCATACAGTCTTCATATTCCAGAAGTGTGTCCTCACAGTCAGGTTAAAACAGAAATGTGGCAGGTTATATTAAGGTAATAAAGATACTGGTAGCACAAAAAAAGGAAAAAAAAAAAAAAAGAAAAAAGAAAAAAAAAGCCCAAACAAAAAACCACCACCAAACAAACAGATCACTCTACAAAGACATTCATCACAGGGATTACTAAATATAGAACTATGTAAATTGCCAAGCCCAGTAAACTTCAGCAAGGCAGTATTAAATTACCATGAATCAAAACTACAAGAGAAGCAAGCCCTAAATGTCTTTTGTGTTTCTTATCAGTAATTAGATGTAAGCAGGTGTTATGTGGCTGGAAGCCTGTATGCTCACAGGCTTTGGAAGGCACCTTCTTTGTTTCACAACCCCTGCTGCAGGGTCAGCAAAGACCAGCACTCCTCACTTGGCTGGAACAGGCAGAGCTGTCATAAACTGTCAGATGGTTCATTTTTTAGAGCCATGTAAAGTGTCCCTCGGTAATCTGATCATATGTTGTGTTCTTAGAATAACTCCCGCTGAGGTCTGCCGTGGTCACCAGAACCTGCCAACAGTTGTGACTCCTCTGTCGAAACCGCGCATTGGGTTTCACGGAGCTCCGGCCAACATTCCAGCCGTGGCACAGCACCTCTATCCCTCTACAGAGCCTTCCCCTGGGAAGCATGGCACCAAAAAAAAAGCAGTCAAGAGATACTGCCTTACAGAACATTCTTTACCTCTCATTCTTAACAGATGAATTTCCAAGGGCAGCAATTTGGCTCCTATTCCATCTTACACTAAATGGCAAAATTTTGCATCCAATAGTTATGCAGGAAGGAATTGCTAAGCGCATTGAATAAGGAGGCTTTTGGATTCTCCATTTTACACCTGTGCACCTTTGAATATAACTGCAGAGAAGTGTCTTCCTGTAAGGAAGAGGGATAATCGAAGGGAATTCCCATCACCATAGAAAGCATTTTCCAGTCCTATCTCAAAGCTTCATGCTGACTGTTAGTAAAAGTGTATTAATTTTTCTGCCTCTTGTAAGCAGTATCTCTTTAGGACTTACACTTCCTCACACACCTGTTGCCAAAGAAAGTGAGATCAAAGAATTCAGTGATCAAAATCCTTTCAGTGGGAAATGGCATGGAAGTGTCATGTTTCATGGAAATGGCATGTTTCTTGGCAGATTCAGTATCTTTCTGTACCCAAAGCAAAGAGTAACAACTACCTATAAGTAGTTCTAGAGGAGAAGCAACTATCCAGCTGTATCCAGGGAAAGGTTTATCAAACCAAGGTCAAGAAAGCCATCTCAATTCTCATTTCAATCTCTTTGTATCACTTAGTGATATCTCCTGGGACATGACTATCTCCTTGAACTTATTTAATTAACTGTTGGTTACAATCAGCATAAACATAATGAACTGTGTGCATCAGACAAATAAATCTAGACAAAAGAGGGAAGGTAAGGACACCTCATCTGTCC